TAGGCGTAGCATCATTATGCAATAGTCTGGTCACACTTACTGTACTAGTAAGCCTCTTTCAATGAGCTGAATTTTTTTCTAGAGAGGTAGATACACCATGGAGGCCTACCAGCCAAACCAGCCAGAGTTGTAATGACTCAAGTCAATGACTCGACTCGAGTCCGACTCGAGTCACAATTTTTGGTGACTCGACTCGACTCGAGTCCCTAAGGGTAAATGACTCGACTCGACTCGAGTCACTGCGAGCAAATGACTCGACTCGACTCGACTCGAGTCCTTCGTCAGAAGACTCGACTCGACTCGAACGAAGGCTTAGAAGACTCGAGTCCCAAAAATAAAAGCACAACTTTGCGAAAAGTATTTGCAATGACTTACGGTGCAAAATGTATGCTCACTTCGCTTTGCGAATTAGTCATGTATAAATATACAACGTGTCACAGACTCCACCTCATGGTTCTAAAACGCACAAAATACTATCCAGGAACCAGATTTTTCGCTTCATCAAATTAGCTTTGCCCTTCACCGACGTATAAACATTGTTTACTCAGTGTGTTACTCCCGAGTGAAAGTTGGAAAAAATCACTCGGGTGGGACTCAAACCCACGACCTCCTGCTTTCTAGTGCAGATGTCTTACCACTCGACCGAGCTAACGGGATCGGTTGGCTGGTTCGAATCTGATGTACATAGCAGCGGGTACCGCATAAACTATTGTAAGATGGAATTTTGCGTCGGGGTGATATAAATCAATTAGTTTGCCCTTCACCGACGTATAAACGCAAGAAGGGAAACCTAATTTGATTTATATCACCCGACGCAAAATTCCATCTTATAATAGATTTTCGCTGTTTCATCATTGGCTTTAGGCGATTTCTTATAAAGCTCTTGGATTCGAACGCTGGCTAAACTTATGGCCTCCTTTTATAAATTTTGGTATATTGTGTTCAAATATTCGTGACTCGAATTGACTCGAGCTAAATATTTGACTCGACTCGACTCGACTCGACTCGACCTTTCGACCTAATAACTCGACTCGACTCGAGTCACTTCTTTAAAATGACTCGACTCGACTCGAGTCACTTCTTTAAAATGACTCGACTCGACTCGAGTCACAAAAATCAGTGACTCGTTACAACTCTGAAACCAGCCAGTAGAATCTTAAACAGCCAAACCATAAAATTCTGTATAAAAAGCCTTGGCTGTTGGCAAAGTATGCGACAGCCTAGTGTTAAGTAAACAAATTGAATTTGCCATGATATATAATGTGGTCCTCGGACTCCTATGGCCAACTGATTGATATTTGGCGTAATGGTGGCTCTGAACGGACGTGCTCCAAATGCGTTGGACCACTAGACCTAGGTACATGCAAACACTGCATTCGGTACTCTGCTATCAGGTCACTCAAGCCAGATATCCAAAGGTCATCATATCACAATGCAGCTTCCACTAATGCAAATATCGTCAAAGTGTTTTTGTGTGTGTTTGAGTCAAAATTCTCCAAAAGTTTTTTTTTTACTATTTTCCCAGATCTGTAAGTCACTAGACTAAACAAAAAAGAAATCGCTCCGTCAACTGTTTTGTAGTACATAATAGTCCCACACGATCGGAATCCACCGTACACCAAGACAACATACATAATTAGCCTACAGTCATTTCTTGTGTACTAAAGTTTTCGAGTTTGAAAGTGTCCTTTCAAAATGCTCCTACTTTAACCAGAATTAATTTCCTGGGCTGAAATTCGGACTTAATATCCCTTTAATACTTCAATTTGCGACGGATCAACACACCTTGGAAATTCCTAGTTTTTTAGTAAAATCCATATATAGATATATTTCGTGATAACCTTGTGGAGACGTATTCACCCATAGAAATTGCTCCATGGAGATGTATACAATCTATTGTTCCCTATTGTGCACATGTCTCTACAGGGAACCGTGTACCAGATCACCAATGTTTGAGGTATTTTGATAAATTTAAAGTTTTGTTCATACAGGAACCTGGATAATAAAGCCCTCTCCCGATGCAAAAAGCGGCTAGTATTCCATGTTTTAACTTCTTCACTCACATTTAATTCACAGGGAATTTAGCCCGAGAGCCCAGAGAGGTTGCGGATCAACCGTTTTGCTAGAGAATCCAGATGTAGATGGATGTAGGTTTAATTACAATATCGAGCACAAAAGGTTTGATGGTGGCAGTGAGTAGGTGGGGGCCGTTGTCTGACCTTTAGAACCGTCTTCATCCCGTGCGTTTGGGAGGGGGCGCCACCTCGTACCCCCAAAATTGACTTTAAATTAGAATATATTGCGCACACGCACCGGTTCCAACGCGAACAACTTACGGTCATATTCGATTCATTATAATCAATAACTTTAGGATGATGAATCCCGTGCATTTCATGCTTAAGAATTACCTACTAGCGCTAGTTTTTGCCTTGAATTAGAATTTTGAGCACAAGAGCAAAACCCTCACTAAAGACTAATTAACCTGATTATAATGCACGATCCACAACTTAAGAACGTTTATTCCGTGCATTCTGTGCTTAAGAGAACGGTACTTAGGTCAATTATTATAAGCCGCGCGAAGGCCTTAGTGTCGCCGTTGTTCAACAAATTTTACCTGATTACGTACTTGGACACTAAAACAGAGCAGTTAAATTCATGCACCCAAAAAACATGGCTTTTTGAACGTTGTGTTTCTCAGAAAATATGCTCAGTGTGATTGAAATGTTAAATTATAACGGAAGAAGAAATTCATGTAAGTGAAAAAAAATCGCCGTCATCGATGGCGAAACGTCAATACTGGTTACTGGTAAAGCTGACCTTAAAGTCGGGAAGAAATCGTTCGAAAACGACCCCAAATCTATGTATTTATCTCAATTTCTAAGAATATTTCACGAGTAGTTGAACAAATATCATGTAAGTATATTCTGAATTTCAGCGTAATCTTGTTGCAAACGCTTGTGCTACACCCTGAACTATCTCCAAGAAAAATCTCGACGAGGATTTTTTGCCGACCAAACTCACGTGCATGGTTTTCAGGTTGGCCGATTTTGGGGCGACAAAATGCTGACGAAGCGCATGTATTAGCATATTCATTAGCGTGACTGGGCGTGACTTCGCGTGGGTCTCGGTATCGACCAATGGAAGCTGGCAATAAGGGTGATATTTATTAATTAATAACTCGTGAAGTCAGCATGCAACTGGGAAGTCACAAAAACAGAGGAAATTCAAATCTTTCCAAGACTTTGTACCGTGTTTTTCTATTTTCAATGGCACACATGGGAAGTACAAAAAGAGGAAATCAGCTGATCCGAGGAAAAGTTGAATGCCTGGTGAAGGAGGCGATACTGCAAATTTTTACTGCACACCATAATTGATAGGAACCTTATTAATATTCGTGAGGCCTGCACTGATTGACAGATATTGCAAACACCAGTGTTACAACTTTTAAACATGTGTAACCAGGTCGGGTTTCAGTACTTACTTTTACCCGACAGGTTCCTTACTCCAGCATTCATATCATAACTTTTGTAATTTCGTGGTTGTGTTATTTCACACGCATGACATGTGAGCAGCCATTGCGATCATGCTTTTTGCCTAGCGCCCTCTCGCGGCCAACTAAACTTTTTTTTGCACAGCGCGCGCCGCCTAGAATTTTGCTAAACTATGCAATGGGCGTAGCGAGCAGGCGAGTTTTGCATTCCACCGCGCTTTGTTTAAGAGAAATAGCTGACATTCCGGGCGTTTCGGTTAGTTTTCTTGTAAGGCTAGCTGCGAAATAACTTTGATTTCGATCCACCTTAATTGTTGCGTTCAAACCATCATTTTGCGAGCTCTTACACTCTCCACTTATATCTGCACATTTTGAGTGAGGCTCCCTGATACTTGTGATAGCAGTACAATATTTTCATCTATTTTAACTGCTGATCTTCGATTTTAACATCGGACACGGAGAAGGCATGAACGTAGACCATCCCAAGTGATACTATCCTTGGAGCAACTTCATTAGCCTATTTTCCCTTTTTGACTGTCGTTTTTATAGACCCAAAAAGTTCGTTTGATATACCCAAAGTTCATATATATACTGTAATTCTTTTGTAAATACCTAATCATTTGTATATATATATTGTCTCATATTTGTGCTGTAAATAAAACATTTGATATTATTGAGACAACAGAAAACTTCGCTCTACCCAAATCATTTTTTAGTGGAACCACTCGGTTGTAAGGAGAGTGCCACATTTTAAAACTTATAAATCCCACTCTCCCCGGTTACACATGCACGTAACCAGACCTATTTTTTCGAATTCAATGAAAAGTTCTGAACTTATCAAAACTTTTTTTAGCACATAGTTGGATCATTATCAGGGAAACAAACCCTGAAAGTTGCATGAAGATACGGTCTTCCAAACGGCAGAAATTGATTTTCAAATATAAATTTTGCCCGCGAACATCCACATGTCTATGTGCATGTTGTTCCATTCAGATTAAAGTATTTGCAACCACATGGCTAATAAGGTCAGTGTAGAAGCTAAAACACGGACTACTAGCCGCACAATACCTCAAACATTGGTATCTTTTGGTGTACGGTGGATTCCGATCGTGTGGGACTACACATGGCTATCGTGATCTGCATGCATTGTTAATAAGCTACATTGACAATGGAGGAAGAAAAATATTACAAAAATATTTACCAAGTAATCTTGTCTAATATGCTTCATATCTCGGCAAGTTGCCATCTCGATTTCCGTAAGTCGACTTGGCGAGATGATTTATGTGATTAAGTCGCTTTTAATACATGCAACATGACGTGATAAATTATCTCAGTAGGGCTAAATATTAAAGTGGATGGCACTCATGGATCGCCGTACTATAGACATGCATTGTTATTCAGCGATAAGGCATGCATTCAGTGTAGATTGTGTAATGTTTGTATGGGTTATAGGTCAAGTGGTCGAACATCTGTTCAGGGCCATATGCACCATTACGCCAAATATCAATCAGTAGGCCTAGGAGTCCGAGGACCACGTTATTCATCATGGCAAATTCAATCTGTTTACTACACGAGGCTAGTCGCAAACCAAGGCTTTTTATACAGAATTTGGCTGTTTAAGATTCTACTGGCTGTTGGCTGGTAGGCCTCCATGGTGTATCTACCTCTCTAGGAAAAAATCAGCTCATTGAAAGAGGCTAGTAGAGTAGAGTACAGTAAGTGTGACCAGACTATCGCATAATAATGCTACGCCTACGAGTGTGGTGGTGGCGCTGGGTCATTGCCGTTAGCGCATTTCTGCAGCAAATAGCGACATACGGGATGTTGTACAATTACAGCATTTTATTCGTCAGTCTGCAGAAGGAATTCGACTCCGGGGCTGTCCTGGCTGGTAAGTATCATTCCGCGAGCCCGCTATCACTGTACATCCATAGAGGTCCCCTTCAATATGGCCAAGATATTATGCCATCTGTTAGTCAGATAATCGGGTCGGGGTCATGGAGAAATAAAAGTACAGTATTTAAACTGTCATAACGATTTTGCCATTGAAGGGTCCTCCTTTAATTCAACACCGTGTTTGGAGCGCCGTGGTTCAATGTTTACAGACAGAGGAAAGCGTCTCTGTAGTCCAACGTCCCACGGTCCTACGTCCCATTATTCCGACGTCCCATTTTGGTCCGACGTCCCATTTTGGTCCGAAGTCCCATTTTGGTCCGACGTCCCATATTGGTCCGACGTCCCATATTTTTTTTTAACTATTCACAAGTTTAGGGTTTATAGATGTAAATGACACTATCATCTTTGATTCTCTATTGTTTATAGGAATCAAACATCAAGCCCCACATGCCACGGCCAAATGATGTGATGTGTGTGATTTCGGAAATTTGCTGTAGTTTTTTTTTGGAAAGCATATCGTGCCTTATAGAGGACGAGATGGCGCTCCGAAAATGCATCTTAATCTTATGCCACGATGAACATCTTCCATACAGTTTACAGCCAAAACTATTGTTCCATCTAGGCTATATCCTCTAGTAAACGCGCATTGCAATATAATGCATCTATAAAGACGTCTATACTTGCAAATATACTAATGAAAGACTAGAATCTGATAACATGTAACTACAAAAAGGTACAAACAGGTTTCCCTTAAATAGAAATGTGTTGATAAATGCATGCATACAAAGGTAGACACGCACAACTTTATGAAAAAGGCGTGAACTTATTGTTTGCTATTGTTTGGCCAATACATTTTTGGCTCGACAGTTAAAGTTTGACCAGCAATTTTTTTTAAGTATAATATTCGAATCCTTTTTTAACTTTTACAACACGGTGTTCGGTTTTCAAGAATTGACTTTGTGGAAATGGACAACATTATTTTTCAGTTTAGCCAATTCTAAAACGAATTTCATCAGGTCCTTACATGTGAATTCTTTCAGGTATAAATAATCAAGACTTACAATTTACTTTTAAAAACAAAAGTTCTCCCGTGTTTTTCTGCAGTAGAAGGCGGTAGAAATAATGCTGATACCCTATTAACCTTACGTCTTATTTTACATCTGAATGCAATTATACTTAAAGTAGAAAAATACAAAGCACTCAATACTGCACAGCATTACACAGGGTTTTCTCTGGCCATTTCGTAACCATGATATATTAATTATAGGTATGCCAACAAGTTTTTACATAAGGCTCGCAGTTAAGACTGGCAGTTAAGTCAACTTAATTACACCACTCACCCACTTAGTCAAGCCCTCAGATTGTCAGAGATTTTTTTTTCCCTCAGGGGAAACTTATTTATTCAGAAGAAACGTTTCTCTTGCGTTTTACAATAAGTATAAACAAATAATATATTAATCATTACATAAAAGAGAGAATGGATCCCATTTCGCATTAAATTTAGCAAGATCACCATTTGTAGTAAATATATATTTTTCCAATACATAGTATCGTTTTAGCTCATTCTTAAATACTAAAAGAGACGGTTTACTACCATTCATCTTCATTTTGTAAATGTGGTAACGGCATAGGAGAAGACATAAATTAAGGGCGCTCCAGTTTTTGTATGTCAAATAAAATCATCTCGTAATCTACAAACACATTAATATTCAAAGTCTCCTTAATCCAATCACTAATTTGAGTCCAGAACGATAAAGAAATCTCACAAGTGCAAAATAAGTGAATCAGAGTTTCCTTTTCTACACGACAGAAGGAACACAAGTCGTTCTCCCCTTTACCAATCTTTACCAAATAAGAATTGACGCCCAGGATTCTATGGACCAATCTGTATTGAAACCATCGTAATTTTGTATCACAAGTAATCGTAAAGGGCATACTGCAGAAAACCGACCATTTAGTGGCAGGGAAATTGATACTCAATTTTGTTTCCCATTTGTCAATGAACTTACTCGCAACCTTTTTCACTGAAGTAAAAATATGATAAATACGGGTAGAACCTTTTTTATCTGACAAAAGTACCTCAAAATTAAATGGGATAAAAGGAAAGCAAATATTTGACTTAACCCCTTTAAGAAAAAAATTGTTGACGGCCTCGACAACTCCACCATACTCTAGAAAGTTAGTCCTAATACTGAATTTTAACATAAAGCGTTCCAAGCTCAAAAAAGCACCTTTGTTGTCAAGTAGGTCAGACACAAAGTTTGCCCGACGTCCCATATTAGTCCGACGTCCCATATTGGTCCGACGTCCCATACTCCACTAACGTCCCAGGGTAAGGGTTGGAGTTAGGGTTAGGGTTAGAGCATAGATTGGGTTAGGTTAGGATTAGTCAACCTGAACCTGCAGTGGAACTATACGCAGTATAAAATCATCGGCCAATGTGACGTCGGTCCAATGGGACGTCAGGCCCCGTTGAGATGTACGAGTCGGACAGTAGAGATGTAACCGATTGAACCAAGGCGTTCGGTCGGATCCAAATGATTTGCATAAAATAGTGACCGCTTGAGGTCGCTGTTCGCGCTGCAACGATATGCCGCCGATTGATTACCGCGTACGGACGAATATAAACGACGAACGCCTTTACCAAGGTTATCGTTGGGGTTGTTCACGTCTTTGCAACCAATTTAGTCATTTTGCATCATGAACGCCCATATAGGGATGCTGCCGACTCGGATGCGTAACCCCGTTAATAGCAACGCGCATCCTATATAATGGTTCGAGTGTAGCCCTACATCTTATATTGCTGCCGTATTTGACTATTGAAATAACCTGTCACATCACCATTATTTATTTGTTCTTCAGGATGGCCAGGCTCTCTTGCATCGAGTCTTGCCAACTTGATGAGCCCTCTGACCGCCCTTCTGATGATGAGGATGAAAGCTGTAAAATTGGTCATCCTCGGACACGTCATCATATGCGTTGGATATCTTCTAACCTCCATCGTTCCTGCGCTAGGCTACGCCGTGTTTACCTTCGGTGTCATGGGTGGAGTTGGCGTTAACTTCGTGACCCACGCGGTCACGGGGTTGGTTTTGGAGTGGTTCCCCAAGGACAATTTCAGTCGAGCAAATGGCATTTCTGTAACGGGAACATCAACAGGTAAAGCCTTACCCTTGGCGGGTGTTTTTTTTTTTGAAAATCAGTGTTTTATTCAGTTTTCCTTTCATTTTCTGAAAGAGTATATTGTTAGGGTCATACCATTCATACTGTAGTATGAACTAAGGTAGGCCTATACTCTGTCGAAAAATGAAGTGGTGGCGACAGATGTGAAACAGGGCCCGTTTTTAATGATTTTTCGCCGTGTTCTCTCATGGTTGCACATAAAAACCGGCCCGGTGGGTTAGTTCCCCAAAGGAATCCATACGCTGTCAGTCAGTACTAGTCCGTGGGACGAGTGGCGGAAAACGCTTTAGTTTTCGAGATACGCGATCTGGTCTGCCGAATTTTATAAAACTTTCAAGACATGTAGATTATGATGTACCATATCGAAAAAACATTGTTCCCCGATCCACAGTTTGTTTGGGAATGAGAAAATCTGGGATGAAAACGCCGAAAATTCTGCATAAGAAACAACATAAGAAACAGCGCCCTCTTTTGGCACAGTCAGAAACATTTTCGCGCGCAATGAGCGCTTGCCAGATAATACTTCTTTCAAGTTCCCTTAGAAGATCATTACAGATCACATTCGTCTAAGCTGTTGCCGAATGGCAGCATTCAAAAATCAAATTCGTTGATTATAAATCAATTGGACGAATTAAATTTCTTGACTGAAAAGATTTGGCATAGTAGACGAAATCGATACTCCGGTACGAAAACGTGTACTTGTTGTAATTGCTTAAACTGAGTTTTATATTGTCACACAAAAGACGAAATTAAACGTTGGAAGAGCACTAAATCGACGGTGATGGGCGAATATGAATATTAGAGACGGTAAATAAAGGTTTAAAATTAGCCGGGAAAACCTATTTAATGTAATTTAATCCATTTATTTATTTATTTATTCGTTTTGTTGGGGGGGGGGGGGGATTTAAACCTGCACAGTCCGTTAAGGAAACAAGCAGAATGGTATTCAGATTACATAGGTTTCTTCAATCTGTACTGAATGAGCATTATACTTGTTTATTTTGAACTAACCAAACGAGATTATGAGCACATGTACCGGCGGGATAGATAGTTATTGTATAACATATCAAAAGTCTCATCAAATTGAAGGACCCACTTTTTTGTTTGCAAACTTTTCTCAAACGAGAACATTAATGTATATTCCCCTATTCGGAAGCTGTGAGTGGCAGCATTACCACTGCATATTTGTTTAAGCTGAAACCGTTTTACCGATATTATTATTGTGAATATTGTTTTAAGAACCGATTCGATATTTTGTTGTTGCTCTGTCCATTCCGTGAAACCACAAATAACCCAACGGCCCACCCGCCTCCTTTTTGAGGCTGCATCAAATTTGTATTACTTTTTAATTTCAGTAATATCATTTCTTAAAGATGTTTCAGAAGTTCAGCTGCTCCAGCAAATGCCACACACTTATATTATTTTTGAAAACATGTTACCCTGCAGAGATAAGAGTGCACAAAATTATTCTGATCTGTGGTTTAACCATATACCAATCGATGTTCAGCTAATACATAACAATGTAAACATTCGATCTTAAATTTAAAGCGTGATCATTTCATGTTGGCCAAAACTGTAACAAAAATATTTTGGTATCCCGATGAGATATAACAAAAATCTAGAATATAATATGAAAGAAGTGTCATCTAGCAAGCACTCATTGGCCGAGTATGGGCGGGTCTTGTTCTTGACACGGGTATATCATTATTGCAAACAACGACGGATAGCTATAGGGGCATGGTGTGAGATCCTGCTCCGAGTGCAGTACGTGTTCGTGGGTCGTGTTCTCGCCGTCGAGCGCGAGAACAATAATAAATACTCGCGTCAAGTTGAGAACAGACCGCCCGAACTCGGAGTCGGACAGCCATTGCGTGAGAAAAGGTTTCTGACTGTGTCAATAGGGGGCGCTGTTTCTTATGTTTTTTTCTCAGGTAGAATTTTCTGCGTTTTTATCCCAGATTTTCTCATTCCCAAACAAACTGTGGATCGGGGAACAAAGTTTTTTCGATATGGTACACCATAATCTACATGTCTGTGAAGTTTTATAAAATTCGGCAAACCAGACCGCGTGGCGAGCGAAAAAAGGCGTCGTCCCACGGGCTACAGGGTTTAGGCCCTCACACTCAACTGAAACCACCTTACATGATTTTACGAACACATGGTTTCAGGCTCATGGAGCGTGGGGAAATAACAGGCACTGTTTTTTTATAGATCTAAGTAAAGCATTCGATTCTGTTTATAATCATGCAACTCTCCTAAATAAACTTGAAAAGATGAATATGTCAACCTCTGTAATCAAGTGGTTGAAGTCATATCTTAGTGAACGCAGTCAGTCTGTGAATATTGAGGGCAACATATCCAAGGCCTTGCCACTTCACACTGGCGTACCACAGGGATCAATTCTAGGTCCACTGTTATTTATTATTTATACAAGTGACCTACCGCTTTGTATCCCTAAAGAGTGTAATTTGTTCATGTATATGCTGACGACTCCACATTAACGTGTAGTTCTACCAGTGTTGATGAGATAGGGAACAATCTGAATACAGCCCTAGCACGAATATACGATTGGTGTAGCAGGAACAAACCTACAATAAACGCCAGCAAAACCAAATCAATGCTCATTGGAACTAAACGAAAGGTCTGCAGTATTAACCTTAATGTAAGTATCGCTGGTAGTCCAGTTGTTCAGGTGAACTTTTGTAAATGTTTGGGGGTAATTGGCCTATATTATTGATGAAGCTTTAAGTTGGGGCCAGTAGTTATGTGTGGCGTAAATCATCCCCCGTTGAGGATCAAGTTGTGGATCAATTGTGGATCCACAACTTGACCCTCAACGGAAGATGATAAGCCTCACACTGGTGGGCTCCCCAGCTCCTCCTCCTCCTCCTCTGAGTTCTTGTTAGCAATCTATTCATAGATAGAATAAAGATTTATTTAAGGCGGTGGCGATGACGTCACTTCTCCTATATGACGGCATAGACAATAAGTATGGACATGACAAACGATTTCATTTTTTCATTTTTTGTTTAACCACAATGGCTTCTTCATTTTCTGTGCATGTGTATTCTTTGTTTAAATCACATTTTTTCATTTTTTTAATTTTTTATTTAGTCAATCAGTAAAAAAGAAACAAAGTAAAATTTATTACAAAATAGTAAGAGGATAAACAAAGAATGGACATTAAATGGTCACATCATTTTAAATACAGTAAGGATATAAGCAAATTTATGTTGTTGGTTTTTTTCACTAAAATGGTGCCACTTAAGATTATGAATGTCAAGTTTGTCTCTCCTTTGAGCAATATTGCATCCAATTCTCTCTGTTAACATGACCAAATTTTTGAAGGCACTACAAACAGGAGGTTTTTCATCATATTTGCATTTTATAGATATACGTATGTTGTACCCAAACATAATTGAAAATTCAGAGAAAACTATATTGACCTTCAGTTTAGAGGACAGCCACTCCTGTATACCTGGCCCCAAACTGGTAGAACAAAGACGCAATTGAAAAATAAGTGAGAAACATGTTCCTTCTCTGTCTCACAAAACGTACAGCTCGGGCTATCAACAAGCCTAATTTTGTGCAAAAACACATTATTCACTTTTAACCTGTGAAGAAACATGAACTGGAAAATTCTAGTTTCGATATCTATAGTACATTTGTATTTTGTAAGACAGAGAGATACAATTCCAGTCCTCTTAGTTAATAATTTAAGAATCTCTCCATGTAGCAATAACTTTCACTGGTTTATACCGAGCCTTGTCCATTAACTTGTTATACACATGTTTAACAAAATGCTTCTTCTTTAGGAGCGGATTAACTTCAATATTAACTGAGGGTTGAAAATCCTTATTATTTTTATTCAGCTTTCCAGACCAAGGAATAGCTTTTAACTACCCAAAATACCGAATGAACGTTTTTAATTTATTTTTAAAGCAGAGGTCTTTGTATGAAAGAAAAGTACCAGTCGGAGTAACATGTGATTAATTGTAAGAATACCCGCTTCAAATCATTGTCTATAAAAAAAAAAAAAGAGGCTGACCTTGTGTGGTAATAAAAAAAATGTCCATAGACTCGGATTAAACACTCTTCTGAGGTAACTGGACTCTTTGTAAGTTACTAAGCTCCAAGCTAACAAAATGTCGTTTAACGTGGAGGAGTTCAGATGGAGCGATTTAACAAATTTAGATGAAAAATTACATTCAAATAAACTGAGGCCTCCGAATTGACGACACTTTCAAAAGTACCTGTATTTTCCTGATCTTTTTTTTTAAATTTTTTTTATTTTGGCCCTCCTCAAGAGAACATAAAGCTAGTAGAAAAACCACAGCTAAAGTTCATAGATTATGAGCATAGGGCATGTTAAAGGAACAAATTATGGACAGTTGATTTAAAAGATTGGCTAGATGGAGCTACTAAGGCTGAATACCAAGTTCTGCATGAAGAGTTGGTGGAATGGAAGCTATGGCTTTCTTTTGAAGGGACGACCACACCCTGATGTAGAATAAGGGAATAACAGTGTGAGGAGCCGGTCTTCACTGCGTGATAATGACCGGGTGTGGGGGTGACCGCTGTTAATGGACCGAGAAGAAGTCGAGGTAATGACCGGTTGTGGGGGTGACCGCTGTTAATGGACCGAGACGAAGTCGAGGTCCATTAACAGCGGTCACCCCCACACCCGGTCATTATCACGCAGTGAAGACCGGATTTTCACACTGTTATTCCCATTAATAAATACCTTTTTAACGAAATAAACAGTTAAAATGCTCCAATTTTGTGACTTTCTTTCGGCGATATTTCCAGACTTTTTTGTGTACATGTTCATGGGCCATATTTTAGCTTAACAGCTATAACGACGTAAACTCAGCAGAAACTGCTGCCGTAGCGAAACAAATTACAACAATGTTTTCATATCTTTACCTGATGGAGGAAGCTGAAATCTCGTTTACACATTCCTTGTGTCCGGAATTACAAAGATGCTTGGTTTAGGAAAGGTAAATATGTCGGTGGGTGAAGTGTTCAAAGAAAATAAATCGTACTGATCTACGCTTTCGTCGTAAACATCCTCAGTATATACTGCACTGCTGTACGATGTCGTTTCAAAACTTCCTTACGCGCGCGCACGCACGCATCCCTAGCAACTGTGTTGCGTACGCGCGCGTCAGTCTCACGCGATGGGGGTTGAGCGCATGTGCATTGCTCTATTGTTACAAGCTACCGCAGGACTGTTACTATATTTTGACCAATCATTGGCTTGCATGGGGCTGAACGGGGCTTGATCAATGCTGGTTCAGGGGCCATTTATTCGCTTGATCTTTGAAGCCGGTCCATTATCACCGTTAATGCCCGGCCACGTGATCGAATCTCGACCAATCAGAAACCATCAACTCTCCAAGGCATTTATTAATCTTTATTCATAAATACCTCAGACAGTTTAGCTATTCCTATTGGTAGAGAGCCCGTCACGTGGCCGGTCTTAAACGGATGATAAAGACATGGCTAGCTGGTCTTAAACACTTTTCCAGTGTCACAATAAAATGTGGACTCCTCCGGCTCGGGTAATTATCAGCACCCAGACTCTAAGCGGTATTAAACGAGTGATAAAAACCTCCGGAGCACACATTTATTCCCTTAATAAATGCTACCCCGCTACCCCTAAGGAGTCTCTTAACTCAAGCAGCTTCTAAAGCATAGATGTGCTGCTCATAATTGATCATATTCAAACCTCCTTGATCAAAATTAGTAAATAAAACAGTGCGTTTAATGTTGTCCGTTTTCAGACCCATCAAAAAATAGTAGTGTCATCCGCAAATTGAGAAATTTTTAGATCGTCACCATCAACATGAATACCATTAATGTCATTGTTCATCTGAGTAGCTTCTGCCAACGGTTCAACTGCTAAAATATAGAGAAAGAGTGATAACGGGCAACTTTGCCTTACTCCTCTAGTCAATGTTTACATTGGGCACATTGTTCAAGCTGTGCGTGTTGCTGCTTAGGCGAGCTGTCAGGTAACTCCCAAGTGTAATTAAGTGACCCTGGTAATTAACAATTAAGACTCAATCACTACTGCATATTTCTTGATTATTGTATAATACATTACGATGCTATTTGTTGTGCCGACAATCCTATTGTCCAAGTGTATTTGTTGTTGGCTTATTGTGCAATTAACGGAGGGTAATCACAATCATCATAATCGGCGGAATATTTCCTCCAAAACGGACCTGCTCCCTAAGGCTTGAGGTCGCTCTGAGTGGTCTCTCGTCTTGAGAAAGCTTGGGTTCGGGAAGATCAGCTACAGTCTAGTAGGTGTCAGACTTGGTCCCAACGAACTTAGGTTTGGCCCGGGGAGATCCCCGCCACAGTATTGTATTTGTAATGTATTTTATTTGTATATGTGTCTATAAACATTATGCACGTCTTGGGAACTTTGGCAATCTGACCCGAAAAAAATTGCGAGCATACCTGACGGGAGCTATATTCGAGCTAACGTCAATTGTTTGCAGGTAAGCGATATGTTTGTACACTTGCAATTGATCACGATATTATGGGGAAATGTTGGTGAATACTGATCTCGTTTGTGTCTTGTAGGCATGTTGGCCTTCAGTTTCTTGTTAAGTACTTGCATCACTCAGTTCGGATGGCGACGGGCTCTGAGATTCCCATTGGATGCTTTTTTATGCTTCTTCTTTACTTCTTTTTTTATCTTAAAAAGGTTTGTTAGTCATTTGGAACATTTTTTTTTTACCAATATGTAGTTTGGAGGATTTTTTTTCAAGGGAAAATAAAGTCCGAGAACCTGACTTGCAACTCAATGTACTTCGAAATACGCCCATGCGTACGAAAAAAATATCGCGTCCGGCCCCTTTGATTTGCAAGCGCGGTCAAGCCGCTGCGACGGTATATAGAGGGCGCCATCAATCAAATCAATCCAGTCTTGGGAACTTTGGCAATCTGACCCGAAAAAATTGCGAGCATACCTGACGGGAGTTATATTCGAGCTAACGTCAATTGTTTGCAGGTAAGCGATGGTTTGTACACTTGCAAGTGATCACGATATTATGGGGAAAATGTTGGTGAATACTGATCTCGTTTGTGTCTTGTAGGTATGTTGGCCTACAGTTTCTTGTTAAGTACTTGCATCACTCAGTTCGGATGGCGACGGGCTCTGAGATACATCTCTGTGGGGACATTGGCGTTAGGTATCATGGCGAGCTTCTTTCTGACTGACCCACCGACGGAGGACGAGGGTAACAATGAGGGGGGTGATGAGGGAAAACCCGGGGTAGACGAAAGGAAACAAATCACCCTAGAGACAGTTGAAACCTTGGATCCGGACCACCCTACAGAAAGAACGTTGGTGGGAGAGGATCTAGGAGATGAAGAGGAACGCTGTGAAACCCACGAAGACAGGATCCACACGCCAAGCTGCGAAGTTAAAGGCAGTAGTAGCTGCTTCGTTGACTGGGAGGTGTACCACATGATAACGCATATTGACCCATGGGCATGGACTATAGGAGCTTGTTTGGCCATGGTGGGTTGGACATTTTTCACCATCAATTTTGTAAGTACCATAACATCGGGGCGAGGGAGGGGGGTTTGCATTGTCGAAATGACTAACATTACTAATATTTTTGGGTTGAATGAATAAAATGATGTGCGGTTGATATGAATAGATTTTTAGTCGGGTTCCCACTTAAGCACACCGCCTGGTTCATCAAAGAACGACATAAAGCAGCCATATGGTTGCGAAGGGCGACTTCTAAAGGTTACTTAACACTTTATTTTGAATATAACTACATGTACACAGACATGTTTACGTTGGCGGGTGAAATCTTTGAAAATTAATTTCTCCAGTTTGGAAGACCGTATCTTCATGCAACTTTCAGGATTTATTTCCCCTATAATGATCCAAGTATGTGCTAAAAGTCGTTGTAATATTTTCATTACTTTTCGTTGAAATTGGAAAAATATGCCTCGCTACGTGCAATTTTGAAAATTGTAACACAGACGTGCACAATATCTATCAATCTTTTCAAACGTCACGAATATTAATGACGTTCATATCCATTACGGCGTGCAGTAAACAATTGCATAAAAGCCCTCTTCACGAGTTGTTAATTAACAAATATCACCCTTTTTGGCGGCTTCCATTGGTCGATACCGAGACCCACGCCATGTCACGCCGAGTGACGCTTATGAATATGCCAATATGCCCGTCATTATTGGCCGAAATCAGCCGTGGCGCCTACGGCGCTTTGCTGAACAATACAAATGGGTTGGGTCGAAAAATGATTGCTTTGATCCTCTTCGAAATTTTCCATGGAGATGGTTCCACTTGTAAAACTAGCGTCCACAACAACAGATTAAGCTGAAATTCGAAATATACTTAGATGATAAAAGCGTTCAACAACTCGTGAAACTTGGGGAAGTTTTCGAACGATTTCTTCCAGACTTGAAGGTCATCTTTGACAGTAACCAGTATAGACGTTTCGGCATCGATGACGGCGATTTTTTCACTGACATGAAGTTAAGAATTTCTTCTTCAGTTAGAATGTGACATTTCAATCATACCGAGCATATTTTCTGAGAAACACAACGTTTACGAATTTCAGTGCTCTGTTAAAGCGTCTTAGTACGTAATCGGATTTGCTTTCCCTGACAACGACCGACGCTTTGCCGTTGCAACCATATGGCTGGGGCTGTTTCAAGCACCCTTACCTTTACCAAACTCCGTTGCCTCACTTTCTGTGGATGATTGGTGTACTAGGAGTTGAATCCACTACTCTGAGAACGGACGTGTTCAACACACCAATGTCAGTGGAGTATTGCAATTGCATATAGAGTCTGTCGGGAGGTCAAATCCGGGGGTCGATTTAAACGATTGAAATGAACGTTTTTGTATTTTTGTATTTTTCCTTTATTCCGGGATTGGGGTGTTGTTGCAGGCCAGTTTCATGGATGGCCACGGTCTTAGCAGTGACCGCATAGCAGTAGTCATCATGTTTTTCGCCATTGGAGAAATTGGGGGGAAAGTTCTCTTCACCGTGGTCGGGGATCATCTGCCGTGTCAACGGCTCTACTTCCTGGTGGCCTCGGTGTTTTTAGGAACCATTGCGTTGGGCGTCATGACGGTGGTACAGACCTTCCAACAAATGATGGCGCTGTCAATATGTAAGTTAAACGCTCGTTTAGGCTAATTGGCAGATTTATGACTTGAAAGAAAATGCACACCATAACTGTGTTTCTCAGAAGTAAAAATATCACATGTGCATTCGAATTCTGTTACCTCTATTTTATTCCTTGCAAGTCACCTTATTTCCCAAATGTATGCTATTTTCAGTTTCCGGATTCCTGAGATCTTTGATATACGGACACTCGAATGCAGTTGTTGCTGATATTTTCTTCAAAACCTATAGTTCCAATGGTGTGGCGATTCTAGCACTGTTTCCTTACGGCATCGGGTCACTTATTGGTGCCCCATTGTCAGGTACGTACGTTTAGTCGATTATTTGCCAGTCGATAACTTCATAACAACATGGTTTGAGAGCCTGCAGCAGTGCGAAATTACTGATCCGGATGTGTATTGCACCTGAATTCCTCCATCGTGAAAAGAATACGCACCAACACCGAGGGACCAGTACGTTCGCAATACTTCCCCTCAAACGTGGGATTATACCCAACTGTTGCTGCCATGGATAGACCAATCAGGATCCAAGGATTGATCGTTTGATCAGTCGGTCCCCTAGTCTTACTCTTGGCCTAAGCCTCGTCAGTGATCAAGAGCGATAGCTGCATTGGTGTTGAGCGCCCTTGCATAATATTGGTTTTTACTTGCTCTCCATAACGTCTTGGTCATTTCGTAGCAATGGGGCGGGGCCATTTTATGTAAATAAGACCGTCTGTACATTAAAATTCGAACAAACACAGTCCGTTTTTATAGCTTCATGCTTGATCATGCATGATTAAGCATCATGTCGTTATCGCCGTCGTCTTTTTCGTCGTCGTTGTTGCTGCTGTTATTGTTGTAGTGGTTAATGTTGTGGTGGTTGTGGTAGTGGTGGTGGTTGTGGTTGTGGTTATGGTTGTTGTGGTTGTGGTTGTTGTTGTTGTGGTTGTGGTTGTTGTGATTTATATTACTTTGGGAAAAACATATGTTCGTTCAACAAGAGCAACAAGGAAAAAACATTCCACACATTTCACGACAAACATTTTCTTATTTTAATTTCCCTTTAATAACCAGGTGGACTGTATGACATCACGGGTAACTACATCCTTAGCCTGGTCGTCATCGCCGCCATCTTTTTTTGCGCAGCATTCGCATTTTTGACCATCGAATTTCATCGGCGGTTGGCATCGCGAGATTGTTGTTGCTTCTCCTCCGGCAAGAATCGTCCTGCGTTGTTGTGATTACCTTATTATTGCAATATTTGGCACGTCTTTCTTAGGCCTAGGAAGAGCCGAGCTTACCCTTACAACTAAGAAGCATGTAGAACAGTTTCGTCACCAAGGTTCAAGAATGCTGTGTGCATGTATGTTTTAAATAGTTCATGCAGGCCCGGATTGTCCAATAGGCACGGCACTGTGCCTAGGGCCTACGAAAAATGCCCCCCCCCCGTCCCCGAATAAAAAAAAAGTTGTAGCATACAAATTTTGATTCTATAGCTCAGAATAGCTGATTCAATACCTCCAAATCCGAACGAAAATGATGTTGGAATTTTGATCTTGTTAAAGTGGTCAGAAACTGCCTCAGATAGCACCACAGCTAGAGCGTCTAGAATCCCATTTTTTTTCCGGGGCCCTTCAGCGGGCCCCCAACGCAACGCCGTTCAGCCTTCACACTCGACCGTATTAGTTTTTATCAACATAAAACGTATGTACGTACGAATGTACCACCCCCACTTTTGAGGACCTAGTGACGCCCTTGGTGCCAACATGGAGCTAGGATACCAGTTTGGCCTGGCATGATTTGTACTCAACGTGACGCGTGAATTTGGTGCCGGTGCCTAGGGAGTAGGGCCTACGGAACCCTGGTGCCTAGGGCCTACGAAACACTTAATCCGGGCCTGAGTTAATGATGCTTACTGCATCTCAGATAGTCTTATTGAATTAGACTACAAGATTTGGAACTGATGGAGCTTTGTGGAGCTGCGGAGAGGAGGTAAAATACCCGTGGCGTTGAAACGTTTCACATCAGACATTGTAAAGAATCAGTTTAAAAAACCCATATTTCTTTTTATTTTTTCCCTCCCATTTTCAAGTTGGGAGCTGCATTTTACCGTTCATATATATCAGTTTAACCTGTTGTCTCTTTAAAGAATTATTTCGTCCGAAAATATACATGTAACAGCCTGTTTATTCTAGCTACATCAACTTGCGGGGAGAGGACTTTATTATCCAGGTTCCAGTGTTAGCAAAAATGTAAATTTATCAAATTGTACCTCAGACATTGGTGCTGTATTGGTGTTGTCAATGTAAAAGCCACGAACATATGGAGGGATTCCGATCGTGTGGGACTAATGGGCTTAAAGTATTTGTAATGGGGATTATAATTATGGAGTAGAATGCTATACTTGGCGTCGCCGGGATGTTTTGTTGGATGGGGGGGGGGAACAAATCGTTCAAGTTACTTTCTCTAGCATATTCTCAATTGATACGTTTTTCAGGGAGGGGGTGGGGGACATTTGCCCACTCCACCCCTATTGACACCCCTGCAGACGCCCATTTTGTTAAAGGTGTATGAAATTAATAGCAAATGTGACTTCACACCTCCTTTCCTTTTTTTCCTTTCTTTTTTACCCCTTTTTTAAGCGCCAATCTATATGTAACTATTAGTTAAAGCAAACTGGCTAATGCCCCTACCAACATTGCAGGGGGCCCGAGGGAGGGAGGGGGAGGGAAGAAAACAATGATGAATATCCACATAATTCAGTAATCTGTTTGACATGTTTCGACAATTACGATCTACGCATATGTGAGATACACTATTCGTCGAGATGGAGCGCTATTCACAATTGCGCAAAATGCAAAATGGCTTGGTGCCAAAAGGGATTACGGTAAGGAAGTGGCGTCGAACTTTGCTGCCAAAAGGAGCCCCTTGTATTGAACGGGTTAATTACCTGCATTGACCGTGGAGGTGTTTTCTACAGTGGCGCACCCGGGGGGCGGAGGTTGTCAATTTTTTTTTATGTAATTTTTTTTTAGTCCCATGATTTGACCTCGGTGATTTTATGTCGCCTATTTTCCAGTAGTATAAAAGGAGTGTAAGTGGCGCCACCAACGTCAAAATAGCCCCCCCCCCAAAAAAAAATTATTCTGCGGCCAACAATTTTGGGCAACATTGATTGAAAAAAATTAAACTTTAAAAAAAATTAAAAAATTGTGAGCCCCCGATGAAAATTAAGATTAAAACAGAATCCATTCGTCGCGCCATGAGATCCGGGAAAAAAACCTTTTTCAAAGTTTATTGCTTTAGGCTAAGTTTTTTTTTATAATGCCGTTTTCCCCATACACCACCAAGATCCTGTAGTTCAGGTATATTTTAAAACATTTTCGATATGTCTCCAAATTTTGAAAAATCTGCGTCTGAAAAAGTGTAAACTTTTTGGGGCCACCCTGTATAACAAGTACCTGAGGCATTATGCAAATAACTCACGGACACCCCTTCCCACTTTTTTCCGGGCTAAGTGTTATGATGTAATCATTGTTCACATGAATTTCCATATAGTTTTATTAGGGTAACTGTGCCAGTAGGTAACTTTGTGAATTTAAAGGTTATCAATACGGAGGTTAATTAGGCCCAATGTGAGGTTAAGGTAAATGCGCTTAACTTTAGGGTATAGGCCTAATGATAGCCATTTTGGATCATTCAATATGTAATCTTAATTATCCAGTCGCCTGTATACGTTGGAAAAAGTTATTTAAGTAAGGATATGTATATATGACTTGAAGCTTTGCATGGCGGATGAGATAAATTATAAGGGTTGCGGGTAACACCATGTGGAAAGATATCTCTTCTTGGAAGAAGTGTGGTTCTGAAAAGAACCCGTTGGTTGAGTGTATAGAACTCGACGTTTCGGACAGTGTGCTCTGTCCGTCCACAACCACCTGAGGACGGACAGAGCACACTGTCCGAAACGTCGAGTTCTATACACTCAACCAATGGATTCTTTTCAGAACCACACTTCTTCCAAGAAGAGATATCTTTCCACATGGTGTAATCCGCACTTATAAGGATATGTAAGTAGAATCCCAAAAATATACTTTCCAAAAATACGAAAAATTGAAAATTTATTAAAATATGGGAATAAATATCATGCATGGCTGCTATTTACGAAATTAAAAAAAACCTGACTCCTACGATACCGTTTTTTGTTGGAATGATCGTTGTGCTCAATATTCTAATCAAACACAAACATATTAATTCCTTATAGCGCGTGGCAATAATTGACCTTTAACCCATACCGTTCTTAAGCACAACATACACGGGAATAAGCATTCTTAAGTTGTGGATCTTGCATTATAGTCTTTAGTGAAGGTTTGCTCTTGTGCTCAAAATTCTAATTCACTAGCAGGCAATTCTTAAGCATGGAATGCACGGGATTCATCATCCTTAAAGTGCTAGTGAAGTGAATATTTCTGAGGAACATATTTTGTGCTACTTTCTAATCTTCTTAAGTGTATGAAAACTAATGGATATTCCTTTTTGGTTAATTTTGTTGAAAGGTGCACTTCTTTTAACATTTCAAATTGTCAATGTTTTTCCAGACAACTGAGGGCGCTGTTTTCGTGATGTCATTTTAAGGGAGACACTATTCATATTAGGTGTTTTTCTGTTGAAATAGTGAACCCCAAAAAATGCTCATTGAAAACATTTCTGAGAAAAGTTTGCTCATTGGCTTACTGCCACGAACTGACACAACAACGAATCACTACTGAAAAGAAAGTTCACGGCGGCGCGGCGAAATATCCAATATTTTGGCAACTTTTTGTGCATAAACTAATTGCAACATTGAGGTTTCTGCCTGAAATGACATCACACTTTTGCTCATGAATATGGAAATAAGCATTAGCATAAAAACCGAAAAGGCACCAAAATACCCTTGAAAATGGCAAAATGAAAATTGAAAATAACCTTAAAGGGACACAAAGGTACATTTTCAAGGATTGCATTTAAAAAATTAAATTTCATGGGCCCTTTAAGTTATTGATCATCATCCAATGAATCGAATATCGTACTATTTGTTCGCGTTGGAACGAACGGTGCTTGTGCGCGATATATCGGGGGGGGGGGGTACTTCAGGTGGTGCCCCCTCCCAAACTCATACACGGCAGGTATTTGCGATTTATGCAAATTAGGCACCCTTCCCAAAAGAATGTCAGGTGTCGCCCCTTCTAAATATCTTCTCTAGGGCTATATAAGAATCTGTCTGCCAAGTTTGGCGCTTTGGAAATTGGACCAGTCGGTCACGATTTTGTCAAAAATTGGGTTTAAGCCACCTGACTGTTAGAGGCGCTCGTGAGGGGCCTACTCATTGTTCCCACAATTGTAGTTTTTGTCTCACCTGAACGAAGTTCAGGACAGATACCGTGTTTGTCCGTACGTCCGTCTGTCCGTTCTGACCATACCACCCTTGTGGGGTGATGTTCCTTTCAGGACACATCACCCCACTTTTTTCACAATAGAAAAACATCACCCCAGAAGGGAATCTTTAGAAAAAGGGATAATGGGAACACAATGCTATCACCCCACAATTCCGTCTGGCTGGAACGTCCGTACGTATGTATGTACACTCAACCAAAAAAGAAAGTCCCCCCTTAATACTTTTTTGTTTAACTCAAAAGCTACTGGGCACATCTTGCTCAAATTACGACTGATCAGTACAGAAATTCCCTAGCAATCCATTCATACTCTTTGTTTGACCCAAAACAGTGATAACGTGTACAAAATTATGCAATTTATGACAAATGGTACTGTGATGAATCATCAACTATACGTTTTATACATTAACATGAACTGTATAGTGACTTTTCTTTAGTGCCCAGTCACTCATACTAGAACATCAGCATTTAATTGGCCAGCGCTGTTAGTGGGCGTGGCTTAAGTCATCTACTAAGCAATACTGCATTTTCATTGGTTGAGGCACCCTGTGTACTTTAGTAATGAGGGGCATTTATTGTATGTGAATGTATATGACCATGTTGGCCTATAAAAGGCACAGTTTGAGAGAATAAATCTCACTTCTTCGCCTGGTGGGACCAAAGAAGTCAAAGAAGTCTCCTGTCTCTGTTTTATTGTCTAATTGTCACTAATTAGGGTGTAAGTCTCCCCCACTTGAGCCACTTGAGCCACTTGAGCCTCTCGAGCCACTTGAGCCACTTTAGCCACTTAAGCCACCCAAAACCACAGA